GGGGGGGGGGTCAGAACAATTGTGCCTATACAATCATGGACATAATAAGAGAAGGCTTTCCTATTTAGGTCCAAGATACAATTGAAACAGAGGATTTGTACATACAGGTGACTTTAATAAGCAGAGGATTTTCTTTTATATTCCATGAAAAATACACTAAATTTATATAAAATAATATCATGGTTGGCCAAAAAATTGTACGCACAGTGCATCCGTGCGTATGCCTAGTTACGCCCATGTTAATATTCCAACAATTTGCCAATCGCTACTAGGCCCGGAACATGTTTTGTATTTCAAGCGACGCTGTCCCTCCTACAGAACCGCTGAAGACTAGTTACATCCATGCCACCAGTAGGCTCCCGTTATTGGCGACCACAATCGGGTCTCTGTTGACGGAGGCCACCGCAGCTGACCCAGACCACGTACCACTCATCTACCCAGAATACAACCAGCACCTGTCATACAGGGAATGGCTGCAACAGGTGAGGAGAGAGAGAGGAGCGAGATTTGTGGATAGGTAAAAAGATGTAAAGCTAATGAGGCACCAGATGTATGGTTACACAAATCATGGATCCTTGACACGGTCCATGCACGGATATCGTTGACTAAAGGTGATTTTTTCCAAAATTTTTCTTAAATAGGGACACAATGAAATTTGCCTGTGGTGTGATTTGATAGCTTGGACTGTTTTCCCAACTCCCTAATTAACAGGCAATTTTTCCATTTTTATCTTCGATTTCAAATGCAGTGTTTATTCTAGAGCGATCGGCTGGCTAAGGGTTTCCTAGCTTTAGGCTGTGCTAAGGGAGACAGGGTTACCATAGTGGCGTTTCCGGACAAGACATTTCCAATTGCAGTGTTTGCAGCGACCTCTATAGGAATGATTTGTCACGCGGTAATTCATCGTCTGCGTTCCCATAACCCAATCGTACTACCAGGATCGATCTTTCTCAGCGGGATTCTCACTAAGCCACAGACAATGTTGTCTGTGGCACGCTTACCTCGCAAAGCATTATGAACAACATTGTGGACCACAAAGATTTCCCGACTTTATCCAAGTACTTAAGTTACGAGGGGGCGTGCCAGACATTAAAGCCACTTAAACTGAATACAATTTAGAGAGAATCCCCGAGGAGTTGGATCGATCCAGCTAGTACAATAGGGTTATGGGAATGGTTCCTTTGATTCTTTTTTTCTTCACTAATGCCTATCGTTTCGTCATATATCATATGACAAATGTGACTTCAATTGTGTTCGTCTTCAATTTTACTTTTAAATAAGAGGTTGAAATGTTAGTTAAAGCATGTGTAGTCTTCTTTAATATCACGATGCACTTATAATTAAACGTCAAATGAAAGTCCTTATTTTGATAGCAAATTGTGTATATTTTCATTTGTTGTCAATATTTATTTTATTTATTTCGACTTGCAGCAAGCCTATTTGTTTGAACCGAGATCAAAACATCTTGAAATGCTCGTTAACAAGGTATGCTACATTAGTTATATTGATAGACAAAATATTTGCGAATATTAAAACTTTATGAAATTATATCAAAACAAACATGGAAATAACTCAAGCATTAAATCAAATATAATATGAAATCTTACCTAGAAATAAGTAACTATATATTTTACAAACAAAGGCTTAAACCTATTCTGTTTGCATCAACCCCTCAGTTAGGGACCATTCCCACAGATATTTGGATCGATCTATATCCCTGGGGAGTCTCACTAAATTACTGTCAACTTGACCGGCTTAAATGTCTGTCACGTCTAGTAAAGTTGTTAGGGGGTATTATCTTTACCCTCTAGCTGATTCGGTAGGCGTGACAACACTTAAGCCGGTTAGTTGACAGCAATCTATTGAGACTCAACAGGGAGCAAGATCGATCCAGATGGATCGATCTAGGCATGGAAACCCAGTCTTAGAGTTTTCATTTTCAAATCTCCATACGTGCACATTTAACGGGTCCTTACCTTGTTTCCCGCGCCAATTACAATATACCATCTAATCATCCAACTGTTGTGCCTTACAAACAGGGCACGTAACGTAGTATTCGACCTGTACAACTGGGTCCAATTTTGGGTAATATCACATCATAACATTTAATATTCACGCTCGTGTTGCAAACAATGACCAAAGATCATGGCATTCCGAGGAATTTGTACATGTATTACTTGTGTTCAAAGGTTTCTACCATCCATCGTGTTCGGTACTAAGTTTTGGAAATTAACTAATATAATTAATTATTCTTGTAATCCCCATATTGATTATAATAGAGATATATATCTTGGGTCAAATGATAGCCAAACATGATCAACACACATGTGAGAATTTGAAAATGAAGAAGTTAGCCCTCATCGGGACTGATTCTCAATTTTTTTTTCGCCTTCTAGGCCAAAATCAGTGTCATGTTGTTATTCCCTGGGATAAACGATGTTAATGTAAAAGCTTTGAAAGAAATCCTTCCTGACTTGGACAAGTGTGAGGGGCGGAATATCACATCTGAAAGGTATCTTAACGATATTAAAATGGTACATGTAGGCAATTAGCATTTGATTCTTATATACCATTTACTTCTGAAAATGGTCAAAGTCATATTTCCATGTCTAAATACCCTACAAAGATACTCATTTGTCCTTATTCAGACCTTAAAGTCGATAAAATCCCACGAGTAAAAGTATCTGATGACGATATTTCCTTCTAATACTTCAGCAAGATCATGGCGGTTTGAATGAGTCATTATTCTTCTAGGACTTAGATTCAATTGAAATTCTCTAAAACATTGAATTGCAGCTCAGCGATGATTTGGGAGTAGGAGCAAATTTTTTTTCGAGTAGAATTAGAGCAAAAATCCCGTTTAGGTAACCTTAAAAAATAAGAAAGTGGCAAATGTAAAATAACTCAATCACAATGTTAAAATAAGCCAATTGTATCTACAGTATCTGAATTTTTTTTCACTTTTCAAAAGAATCCATTCCTTGCTGTTATTAACACAAAATGCACACTATCAGTACTATATTATATGTGACCCGAAAATGAATAAAAAATACAAGTGACACAACCCAACGGTTGTCATGAAATAAAATATTTGTAATAGGGACTTTATTCGTAAACCATATAGAGTCTTGTCTTGAACAATTAATCAAAAAAGTTTGTTTTGTTTTTCAGTCTACCAACCTTACGTCACGTGGTCATAGGTGATGCAAGGGTGACCGGGTAAGTTTTGGTGGAAACTAACTCGAATATTTCACAGAAAATATGTAGTTTTGAGTCAATTAACAAACGCATCGTGACTGTTGTATAATTTTACCTTCAATATTCAGCTTTTTGTCAAAGATTCTAATATACACTGTAGGTGCATGTTGACAGAAGGCACAAAAAGCCCTTTTACAAGGTCAGTCACATATACCGTTACAGATACATGCTTGTTTATAGATAAACATCTCAGTTATTTACTCGTATTAGTCTCCAGAGCCCTAGAACTATCCTCTAACATTTTTTCTTATTTCAAGGCATTGATATTGGCCGTTAAAGGCCTACAATATATGTAAGCAGGTTATGTGTACCGCTTGTGACACTTATCTAAATGCTGACTGAAGAAAAAAGCAAGAGACTGGTAATAGGCTACGAGAAAGGGAAAGGCTAAGCCCCCCCCCCCCCCAAAAAAAAAATGACCCAAAATTTCTGGTGGGGATGGCAATTACAGCCTACAGCCTACAGCCTTATACTTAAAATGTACCGGTAAGGTGTGTATATTGTAGGTTGACTATTGAGAGTCTGTGTACCCTGGGGGAGAGCATCAGCGACCAGACGCTGAGAGAAGCCAAGGCTAAAGTTACCATGGACGACATCAGCTATGCATTCTGCACTACGGTATGTAACCGCGTTAATTTACAGTCTATGACTGGATTCCCATAAACATATCGTACTAGCAGGAGCGATCTAACTCAACGGGGATTTTCGCTAAATTGCATGCAGTTGAAGCTGCTTTAATGTCTGTCACGCCCACTGAAGCTGCTAGGGGGATAATTAACTTTCCTGCACGCTTAAAGTGAACACAATTCAGTGAGAATCCCCTCACAGGGCTACCCAACTACCAGACTCGGCACCGAATGATCCTGAATTCACCGGTAGATCAGACCACACTACCCGTTTCCAAGGTGTGTGTCAGATCGCATTACACAGTATCAGACGCGACACCGCTCTTGCCCAGTACGCGATGTGATAGTGACGATTCTCAGCGGGGTTGAAAAGCATTGCGTCACCACTCAAAATTTGTTCAGGGTATGATACTGTGTAATGCGATCTGACACACACCTTGAAAACGGGTAGTGTGGTCTGATCTACCGGTGAATTCAGGATCATGCCGAGTCTGGTAGTTGGGTAGGCCTGCCTCAGAGATAGATCGATCCTGCTAGTACGATAGGATTATAAGAATGGTTCCTTTATATATGTGTCAATGGATGCATTTCTTTTTGCTAGCGGAGTGCAGTTATCACATTAGATATTGTTTTTTTTACTTACGTAAATTTGTTGTAAAGGGCTTTGAGAACCTACACGGGGTAAAAACAAGTTTAGGATAACATCAATCTGTATCTGCCTGGCCTAAAAAGCTGTTCTACCAAGCAGGCGATTCCACCATAATTAGTCCACCATGAATCAACCGAGAAGATTAAACTTTTGGCCTTTATTGAGCAGAACAAGCTGCACTGTGTTTATATTCTAGGGCAGCACGGGATCTCCGAAGACAGGCCTTAATACCCACCACAGCACCGTAAATTCGATGAAATATACATTTATGAGAAATGGAATCGGAGCTCAGGTGAGACACGAAGGAAAATGGAACAGAGAGGTGAAGATAATACATTGCCCCCCCCCCCCCCGACCCCGTCAAAATGTTAAAACTTTTCTGTAGTGTTCCTGTTGCTTCAGATATGAAAAGTGCGCGATAGAGGTAATATTTCCAGCTTTACTAGGCGTGAGAGACTAGCCGGTTGAGTTGATGGCAATTTGGTGAGACTCCCCAGGGAGATAGATCGATCCAAATATCTGTGGGAATGGTCCCTTAAGCCCCCTCTACACTGGACGGCGTCCTTTCTGCGTCACGTTGTGCGGCCCCGTTTGAGAGTAAAAAAATGTGCCAAAGACTGGCCGATCATTGACCATTCATTCTGCAACCAAAACGATGCTTGTGCCTATTTGCCTATTTTCGATGACCACAGCGGTGCCAGTATCATGGTCGCACATGGACGCAGAAAGGACGCCGTCCAGTGTAAAGGGGATTTTAGACAGTACTTGTGAATGAGGAAGCTACACAATTGCATGTTCCGTATGTCTTTTCCAGCACTCAGTTGTAGGGCTCATGAGCAGCGCAGTAGACGACATCCAGATTGACTGCGTCGTGTGGTCGGTCAGGGATTATAAGATCCGCCCCAAAGCAGTAGTGTTTCCGTCCACGCTTTGGAACGCTTACTACGACCAACTTGGACTCACGGAAGAGGAGGGTTGGGGTGTAGAAGATCTACTCAGGACGATACAAGATTACAAGTAAGTAGGTCTGGGTTACTGATATTATGTTCTCTTGAACAGTCATACCATCCAACCATCTCATCTTTTTTTCTAATCTAGTTTTATCCTTTTCACTAATTCACGTATTGTAATTTGTTTTAACTGATAACATTTTTTTTCTTCTCCTTTATAGCTTCATCTGCTGATGTTTCTTTTAAGTAGCAGATGGGTCTTACAAAGGAACCGAGCTCTAAATATTGTCGATACTTTTTACGTGGTCCTTATGGTCATGTTGCTTATCTTAAACTTTATTTGAAAAATGCCGATGGATGTATGATTGAAATTCTGTTTATTATTTTCTTATTTCTATTGTGTTGTGTATATTAATCAACAATATTAGAGTTCACTTTCTTTTTGGTTTACGTTTTAAGAATTACGCATGCCGATGTTTACCCGCAGTTTTGGGCAAAAATTTTGGAACGCCCTGAATTATTGAAGAAGTATGATATATCGTCGCTAAAACGAGGTACTTATCTAACTATCTGTGTCGTAAGAAACAAGTTAGTGTGAAAAAATTATTTTCATATGCATTTAATTTTTTAAGTAACAATATAGATGTGCTACCTTGGGAATGTGCATTCTCAAAAGTCGTGAATTTATTAAAAAGACGAGCCCTGTACTTGCACGTGTACATTAAGCAGATACATTCGGGCACGGGCGTTGTTTTTAACCCATCAAAGCGGATTTTTTCTCCCAATCGCCGTCCTTCTGCCCAACCCCTCCCACACACGCACACACAAAGAAAGAAAAAGGAAAATGTAAAAAAAAATTACAATGCCTTGACACAACAATGCAATGTCAGACAGAATAAATCGTAAATTTGTTTTTATATGTACTGGTAGATTTATTGTATACAGTGCTAGATGTGGTGATTATCTTCATTCACATTTGAAAGGTAACACTTTTTAGTAATATAACCTCAAATGTTTTTTTTCTGTTAATATAGGCACCTGGACTGGCACGTACTTGAGCGAGAATTTACAGAAACAAATGTCACAGTTAATCCCAGAATTTACGGTACATGCATGTTGTAAAACTTTTATTTATTTTCGAATTGTCCATTTTCTTTATAATTTGACCAATACAGGCCACAGAAACTATAATTACTCCATGAAATCGCAGTTTTAGTTGTTAATTTGCAATCACAAACGATGGCTAGGGGCGGATCCAGATATATTTTCTGACAGTCTTCCACATTATCTTTGTTGATCTATCCTCCATTTTTCGACCGTCTTCCGACAGAAAAATTTAGATACCCATGAATGTAAACTGACCTTCTTCCTGAAGACCCAGAAGACGGCCTCAATCCGCCCCTGGCGATGGTCAAGCAAAGTATAGATAAGTAGACTATTTTCTTTTAAGACAACTGGAACCAGTGTATGTACATATGTAGTGTATATATATGTTTATCTTATTTTTCTGTTAATTTTAGTTAACAATATTTCTTGTTACGTTCCAGAATGGTTTGGGCCTGTCAGAAGTGTATTACGTTTCAATGACTTACCCTCGTGACTCTGACCCTAGCCATAGATTTGGATCTATGGGCTTTCCCATTGGGCATACTGAGGTAAAATATGCTATATCTAACTTTTTATATTACATAGGTATTAATGATTGTGTGATTTTTCAAAACGAATGTCCCTTGATTGCATTTTGTATACTGCTCATGTCATCTAAACAAGTGACCATGTACTTGCAAGTTATTTACTTCGAACCTTAAAATATGAAATGCGAAAAGGAACAAAAAAAGATATTGCTTTGTCTTATTCGTATTTTCACCATATCTTTATTAAATGTGCAAATGTTTTCCATTCATGCATTTCCCTGGCTCATTACTTTGTTACAATTGGCTCCCATATTTTGGTATTTATTGGACTTTTTTCAAGAGGAATTAAAATAACTACCCAAACTGTCGATGAGTTCACAGTTGTTAATACTGTTCACATCTACTGGGGTTCTTAACACCATACCCTGTACACCGCCAGCTTTTATCTTCTACATTTAAAAAACCTCTGTGCTTATGGAATGTTTCAGTTGATTTATTTATATATAAGGATTTGTTTTCTTATTATTAGTTTTAAATGAAATCTTTAGATTTACATGTGATAATGTTTGCTGAGGCGTATGTGTAGCGCGGATTTAAAAATCGATTATTAGTTTTATTTATTATTTTTAATAAATAGGTGAAAATAGTGGATGAAGCCAATGAGAGGATTGTTCCAATTGGGACAGTTGGTGAAATTTACGTACGTAGCTTTGCCGTGCTGCTTCGATATGATGATGAAGAGCAGACAAAAAAGGCAAAAACACCAAGTGGCTGGTATAAGACAGGGTGAGTGTGTTTGTTCAGGTACACGAGTACAGTTTGAACTGATGTGAATCGCTTCCCTGCCCCTCTAAGGCTGTATTCCCAGAGCTTTTAGATCGATCTATCCCCGCGGGGAGTCTCACTAGATTACTGTCAGATAATCCAGCTTAAATGTCCGTCCCGCCTACTACAAGCTGTAAGGGTGTAATTAACTTTCATGTCCGCCCGGCTGACAGCTATTTAGCGTGAACCCCCAGGGAGTTAGGTCGATCTAAAGTAGATCGATCTAATCTCTGGAAATGGGGTCTTAGATCGATCTAGAGATTAAGATTTAGATCGACCTAACTCCCTGGGGGTTCACGCTAAATTGCAGTCAGCCGAGCGGGCACCATAGTTAATTACACCCTTACAGCTTTTAGTAGGCGGGACAGACGCTTTAGCCGGCCAAGCTGACAGTAATCTAGTGAGACTCCCAACAGGGATAGATCGATCTAAAAATCTATGGAAATGGGGTGTAACTCTCTATCTCTCTCTCTCTCTCTCTCTCTCTCTCTCTCACACACACACACTAACTTCTTCTGAATGCACCCATTCACGACAGCGGACTAACTAGTCCCCGGACCAAATATGGCCGACCCACTTAAATACTTCTTGAGTAATCCCCGCGGAGAATCTGTTCAGTATGTATTGGGTTTGGACGGCAAATCTTAAAGCGGGTCGCCATATATAATCTGCGGACTAGTTACTCGCATTCACAACAGATTATCCGCAGACTAGCTGATCCGCGGACTAAATATAAAAGCAAATCGCCTTATTCCCTGATGCCCCCCCCCCGGCTCCACACGTGTCTCCCCTGTAGGGGCCTAGCAATTAAACCTCGAAGCCGGAATTAAATCCGTTTGGAGGCGGGGCCACCATTAAAGGGTTAGGCGGCGTTACTTTTAAGTGGGGTCGGCCATGTTTAGTCCGCAGATTAATTCAACTGTTCTGAATGCACCCTAATAAACCATAGACCGAGAATCTTAGACACACACATGTATAAATATGAATTTATACAAGTATAATTGTACTAGTAGTACATGTGCACATGTAAAACATTCCTGTCCAAACATTATTTTATCTTTTTCTCACGCCGGCTTTACATCTAAATTGCGGCAAGACTGCATATATAAATTAAAGAAGCCATTGTTAAATTTAGTGACATGGGTAAAATGGACGAGAAGGGGTTCATATACTTTATGGGGCGCAAGTCTCAAACCATGATGTACAACCACTATTCCGACAAAGTGTATCCTCAGCCCATTGAGGAAACCGCCATGAAACACCCTAAAGTCAAAGAGGCCGCGGTAAGTTTTTTCCTCTTTTGGAGATATTAATTATTTTTTACTCACCAAGCAATTCTCCAACTTTACATAATCTGACAGATCAAATAAAATTCGATTCTGTTTTATGTTTTTCATATCATTACTTTTCTTATTTATATATTTATTTTGTAGAATATGTACATGGATATTGTGCATGTACAGATTACATACATTTAGCTATTCTTTATGCGGCTTTATATAAAAAATCGGTATCGAAAAGAAATATCACATTACATGTAGTTCAGTGCAGCATGAGTTCAGTATTGTTTTTGCAGGTTGTCGGACTCCCAAATGGTGCATTTGGTGACACCATCATTCTTTGTGTGATGTAAGTCAATCTCATTACATTTCAGTTATGATACATTTTAAAGTGTCTTTGGTGTATGTAACATTGTTGCCTGTATGTCTCTTCTATCTTGACATGTTATAATTCAGGGCTACCCAACTACCAGACTCGGCACCGAATGATCCCAAATTTACAGGCAGATCTGACCACACTACCAGTTTTCAAGGTGTGTGTGTCACTACACATTGCACAGTATCATACCCCGGAACAAATTTTGAGATGAGATGCACTACTTTCCAACTCCGCTGAGAATCATCACTATAACATCGCGTACTAGACAAGAGCTGTGTCGCGTCTGATACTTCCAAGTGCGTACTGACACACACCTTGAAAACGGGCAATGTGGTCCGATCTACCGGTGAATTCAGGATCATTCGGTGCCGAGTCTGGTAGTTGGGTAGGCCTGTAATTGCTCTAGTTACATTGAAAATATATTTAGGAACTGTCTGAGAATGGAATAAAAACAGTGACACGGTGACACTTAAATATGATTTAAAGTTCACGGGAACACCACCTTTAAATGATCTCACACTGGAACATTTCCAATTGGAGCATTGAAATTGATATACCATGTGATGTGGCTGCTGTAACAGTTGTATGTCGCTGATGTAATTCCCTAAATATTAATTCAGTTTAAGGCCTTGCATGATCATTTTTTTTGTTTGTTTTAGCTTGGAACCGGGGACAACTTTGACAACTGACGAACTTTACGACTACTGTAAAAAGGAAGTAAGTTTTGCATTAACTTTACGAATTATTATCTCAATTTGTTCAGGCTTTGGTACAATTTAAGATCATTGTGCAAATTTTATATGGAAAGTGAACATATAAATGCTGACCACAGACGAAATATTGTTACATACACGACCTCAAACATACGGATAATTATCAACGAACATCACTCTCACATAAATAAATTAAAGCTATAATTGGTCAATTTGAATTATTTCCCCGAGACATATAATGTGTGAGAACTTTTTTCTTTGTTTGTTTCAGCTTCTAGCAAATTATATACCGGATGAGTTTTATATCTTTGACAAATTCATAAAAATTGGCCCAAGGCACAAGGTAAGTAGCCCAGGGTCCTGTTTCACAAAAAAATAAGTCAGCTTCACTGATTAAGAATTTGGTTACCAACGTTACACCGTGCCGTGCACACACCTTATCCTATCATGAAACAGTATTAGAGCACTTTTATAGAAATCCTAATCAACTAAGTCAGAGAATTGATTTAATTTTTTTTTTTTTTTTTTTTTTTTTTGTTAAACCAGGGTCAGGTTTCAGGTTGCGAAAATTATGAATATCCATTCATACTCGCTTCCGGCAAAATTGAAATTCAGTGGTGCATATACCTGATTGAAGCTAACTTCACCAGTCTAACTTCACCAGTGTTTCTCGTGTCTACTACGGGCTCGATATGATCACTGTTCAACCGATAAACCGAATTTTTCACACCTGATCATGACGTGAATCTAGGCCTAATGTAAACATACTTGTAGCCTGTAGCCTCTATTGCCCCTATTGTGAAAAAAATGTGAAAAAAAAACGTATGTTAAAATGTTTACGATTTCAATGTACGGCGCTCGTGGCAAATGTAATCTAGGCTTATCTACGTCACATACCTTGCCCAGGGTAAGGCCACACTTTTTTTATTTTTATGGATGACATCCTGCGCGCGCACCGATTTTCGTCCGTTCTCCCCCCCCGCCCCNAGTTTTTTTATTGGCTTCAGTGCCTTTTTATGTAAGAATTACTTTAATAAGTTTTTATGCTTCACCTCGTGTATAGTATATATAGAGAATAGTTAGTCAAGACGAAGGTTATTCCATCTCACAATGCTGTCTAAAACGGGACGATTCTTGAACTGTACGCAGCGCCGTGCCAATAGAAACCGATTTCGTCATGTTATAAGGACCGAATTATCCGGGCGTGGGCACTTTCCCGGCATTCCCCACGAAGGGTTTAGACGGGTTTTTCCCCACGGCCCGAGAGCATCTGGTACCAGTTTCCGACCACAAGACCTGCATTATCGGACTGTGTGCGTTCTGACGCTAGATGAAGACGATGGAAAATCTTAGAACTTTTGATAATACTGCTATGTATTAATTCATTGCGTTTACGTAGTTCATTACTGATTATTAGTCCTTTTTAAATCAACTGTAAA